TACAAAAAAATTTTATAACAAATTTTTATATGATACCATATATAGTTTTGATTTACTTAGTTAACGTAGAACCCCAAAGCATGGGTGTAAGGTTTGTGACGAATGCAATCATCATTCACACCTATATTGCAAAACATGCAAAAAGGTAGCGGATGGAATATATAGGCGATGTGAATGTGATAATGCTCAAATTAACATTTAATAAAAAAGTGTCAAGTGATCCTCTGTGCTTCACGTGAGAAGTCTACATGCCTAGTGAAATGTACCACGCGATCTGCCTATTCTGGATTAGCTCCCGAGCTGATCACACTAAATAGCATGCACTATAGCTAAGTTACTTTAACGCGTCTTCTTCCATTTGCTTTAATTATACGGTCACGGGTATAAAGAAAATATGTAGGGTAAGAGGATGTATGCGTATTTTTCGCTGTAATTTCTATATACTACCAGACTTCTAATACGTTTTTTATCATGTCCACTACTACTATTAGCGTTCGAGGAAATTTAACCACACGCGACGATATCCCGTATACCAAGTATTTCGAACTTTGTTCGTACGAGAATTGGTCTCTTCACCATTACGTCTCCCTTATACTTGATAATTATAAGTTTGCGGAGAAAGAAACAGCACATCTTTTATTTTATAATACTCTGCTGTCTATTAGTGATAGTCTATGTATATCGCAAGAAATTCGGGAGACCGTTCAAAAACTCCTAAAAAATAAAAAGGTAGGCGTAATAGATACAAAATAAGATTTGACGGGGCTTTATGGCAGATACTTGTACCTATTAGAATGACTAGTAGGAACTATGGAAGTATTGAAATGGATGCGTTTGTTAGGATGGCTAATAAACATCATGGAGTACATCATGATAATTTTTAGTAAAGATCCGCTGATTCTGGAGGAGAATTTGGCTATACTTTTCTTTATATTAATAAAAATTATTATTGATATATCCCTGCATCTGCCATCAAACTTTATTTTTTGTTTAGTTATGTTTACTGAGAAATATTGTTCCATTTCTCATTTAATTTTGTTTTCTATAGACCGATACAGAGAAGGTAAATAGCTTATGGAGGAAAGCTGGCAAAGCAAGGAAGATGTCGCCACCACCAGTAAGATCATCATCACCAGCATCATCATCGCTAGCACCATCCTCGTCTATCCTAGGGAAGAGGCAGATAGATCCGGTTATAACGATCTCATCTTCGAAAAAACAACGCATAGTTCCCGATATAAGCCGTTTTTGCCCAGATGCAGAAGTACCTTTGCAAGCCAACGGATCAGTAGACGTTTTTGAAGTGGTGAAGTCTACTGTCCGCATATTCGACTCAAAAACAATTGCCCTTGGATCTTCTCGCTCCTATAAGAGATCGAATCATTTGCTAGTAGATTCTAAACCGAATGTAAAAGTTCCCCGGGAGAGTACCTACGATGCTGAGATGTATAGAATCCTAGTAAATTGGCTTGTGAAGGTACATGGATTTGAAGTTACTGGCCAGTGGCATCTCAAACAAGTTTGTGAGGATGGTGATTTCCATCATTTTTATTGCGACCTGACAATAAAGAATGCCGATGTCCCTAATCCTGTAGCAGTAATAGAAGTCCTAGCCAGTGGATCCGTCCCTAAAATAAAAAAACATTTTGATCAAGTTCTAAAGTATGCCGACCAGCTTTGCCCTGAGGAAGTTTGGATCGTGCATTTCTCTAGGGAGGATTCCGTTGTATCTGACCCATACTGGCCGAGCGAAAAGCTTCAGGATAGGGGGTTAAATGTCATTCACTTCTGGCATGATGAAGGTTTTGAGGACATACGAATGAGCGCCAGATTTCGGGATGCCACTGGCAAGTTCTGTGAAATTATAAACGAGCCAATCCTTCTATAAATTATTTGTGCATAATAAAGCTTACCCATAGAAGGTCGATTTTGCATACATAAACAAGTTTATTTTTGCATGTGTATATTGAGTGAATTTATTTATTGTATTGATATCGATGTCTGTTAACTTGCATATGATCGGGAATTTTTCTTGGCGTTTTACACTTGTTGGATTAAATCTAACGATTTTATCGTGTGACCGACTCGGTCAGTAAAAATATTAACGATATTCTACCTAAAGACCCGGAAGAAAGACAACAACACGTTATTGAAATGGTATTAGAACGATTTCCTTATTTAACTTTGAAACATAGTTTTAAATATAGTAATTATTTTGATTT